TGCTTTCTGCGGCTACATGTGTGTGTGTGTGTGTGTGTGAGAGAGAGTGTGTGAGTGAGTGCGTGAGTGTGTCTGTGTGTGTGTGTGTGTGTGTGTGTGTGTCTGTGAGTGTGTCTGTGAGTGAGTGAGTGTCTGTGTGTGTGTGTGTGTGTGTTGTGGAAGTGAGAGTGTGTTTGCTGATGGTGGCACAGTGTCATGTGATCCGTCACTGAACTTTCACATCCGTCCAGTTCTGTTGTTCTTTATTGATCTCATTGAAATGCTCATTTATTTTTCCCAAATCTTTGTTTTATCTCATTGCTGTGTCAGTAGCAGCATTAAATGAAAATGTAAAATGATTGTTTCCCAACAGGTTTCCCAAGCACTCATACTAACCCATTAAACTTAAGAAACATTAATAACAGGTGTGTGTATGTGTGTGTGTGTGTGTGTTAGGTGATGGCGGTGTGAAGCTGTCCAGCGTTTACATCAATAACTCTCACGCCATTGATGACGATGATTTCTACGACAGGAATCTGGCTCTGTTTGAGGTTTGCGCTGTCAATATCATTAGTCCTCTCATTTTTGTTGGCTGAATCTCACAAATATGTGTGTGTGTGTGTGTGTGTGTGTGTGTATGTGTGTGTATATATATATATATATATACACACACATACACACACAGAAAAACAATCAAGATTTATATTTGTTTTACTTAATGCACTTCACAATAAAAATACTTTCTTTTATTAAATTATTACATTTAAAAAAAAAATTTTTGCATTGTGACATTTTCATGACAATTAAGCATATTATGAAAACAATGTTGCAGTGATATTTATACTATTTTGATTTCATTTTTTAAATAAAATAACATTTAAATGTAATTAAACATTAATGAAAATTAAAATCATGTAAATTAAATTCAGTGCAAATCAATAACAACCATTATGTATATTTATTAGGGCTGTCAATCGATTAAAAACTAATTAATCGCACATTTTGTCTGCGAATAATCGCACCTAACATTAAAGTTTTAAAATATACTTTTTAGTGCTGTGAAATGATTAATCGCAATTAATCGCATCCAAAATAAAAGTTTTTGTTTACATAATCAAATTAATGTAGAAACAACATAAAGACAGTATATTTTTAATATTTGTTTAATGGCATCTTTTTCTTGACTGAAGGCGAGTCTCACTAATACAAATACTACTGATGCCTCTAGGAAATGTTTTTTTTCCCTAATATTTAACCATTGACTAGCCATTCAACATTACAGTATAATTGAGAGCTGTCAATTTGAACATCTATTAGACTTTAAAATATAACAACTTCTAATTTAATTGAACTTAAAGCCATTTTCACATAAACCCATTATAATAAAAGTCATATTTAGTTACCTGTGCCCTTCAGCATGTAGGAAATATACAGAAACAGAATAAAGTTATCAAACACTAAATTCTAAATTAAATATAGATGAATCCTTAAAGCTCTTTCTTCTTTTGTTCTTTGAACAGCATCACAGCAGCTGGTTATCAGGTTATTTTGGCTGCTGAACGTGACGCGGATCTGACACGCTTCATAGTTTCTCATAACTCTTTACCTTTTCTGACCCACTGCATTTCTTAAAGTCTCTGTAACGAGCTGAGGAGTTGAATCAGGTGTTAGATGAGGGAGACAGTGCTGCTGCTCCACGACAGATCTGAAAACCACTGCATTTCAGAGACATGATCTTAAATCTGACTTGTATAACAAATACTTACATGCACAGTTTTAAAGCAGCTTTAATCGGCTTTTTGGTAACTTCATGACTTAACTGACAAAATCACAACAACATTACATGCCGGTAGTTTCTTTCGCGCTTTAATATGCAATGATAAACAGCATGCTTCTCCGCATTTGTGCGTGCAGTTGAACGAGCATTTGCTACGATCACAGTATACCGGCTGACAGGACAGGAAAATAGTTTTTTACTGACATATGGCCTGGCAACGTCTCATCTGACCGCAGTTCACTGTAGTTCTGCTGAAGCTCGTCGTCGCTCGTTTGACTCTCGCCAGCGCTGAGGTGAAGTTAGAGAGTGCGTCTGAAAGTCTCCCATTTGATATGGTTGTAAACGCAATTCTTGTCAAGAAAAAACAGACAGAAGAAGCAGTTGTGAGTGGGGTGGCCAATACTAGCTCCGCCCCGCGTTAATTGAGTTAAATATTTTGAACGCGTTAAACTGAAAAAAATTAATCGCATTTGTTAACGCACTAATTTTGACAGCACTAATAATTACTGTTTTACTTTAAAGAATGTACACAATTTAAATATTAAATCTTTTTTAATTAAATTAAATTACAATAATTAGAATACGGTAGGAGGGAATCTTAATTATGGAAATAATATCATAATATAGGAAATCTTTACAGTTCTAAAAATAGCCTTTATTTTCTCCATGCAAAACCTTTTTTTTTTTTCCAATTGATTTTGAACCTGAACTTTTCTTGACAGATTCTCTTTTTATCGTCTCTTTTATATTCACCCATTTTTTCCCCTCTCTTTGGTGAATGTACGTTATATTCCTGTCATCTGACGTGTGTGTGTGTGTGTGTGTGTTTCTCTCTCTGTAGGAGGAGATGGACACTCGTCCCAAAGTGTCGTCTCTGCTCAATCGTCTGGCGAACTACACAAACCTCATGCAGGGAGCTAAAGAGCACGAGGAGGCCGAGAGCATTGGCGAGAAGCGCAAGTGCAGCAAGGTGAAACACACACACACACATTATAAACAGGCTCCAGACGCAGTAAAACGCTGCTTTGTCACGCTAAATCCCAGCTTTGTGTCAGATCATGTTGATTTAGTGAGTGTTTTTCCCATGATTCCCTGTGTTTGGTGTCAGTCTCCTCAGATGGGCACCTTCATGGGCGTGTATCTGCCGTGCCTGCAGAACATCTTCGGCGTGATTCTCTTCCTCAGACTGACGTGGGTCGTCGGTACGGCCGGAGTCCTGCAGGCGCTGTGTATCGTCTTCATCTGCTGCTGCTGCGTGAGTCTCACACACACACACACACACACACACAGACACAGATATACACACACAGATACACACACACACACACACACACACACAGATATACACACACACACAGATACACACACACACACACACACACACACATTGAATAAATTTAATTAATTTTAATATATTTTACATGTATATGTATATGCATAAACAAATATGTGACCCAGGACCACAAAACCAGTCATAAGAGTCAATTTTTTAAAATTGAGATTTATACATCATCTGAAAGCTGAATAAACCAAATGAAGTTCTTAGCAATGTATATTACTAATCAAAAATTAAGTTTTGATATATTTACGGTAGGACATTTACAAAATATCTTCATGGAACATGATCTTTTCTTAATGTCCTAATGATTTTTGGCATAAAAGAAAAATCGATCATTTTGACCCATACAATGTATTTTTGGCTATTGCTACAAATATACCCCAGCGACTTAACACTGCTTTTGTGCTCCAGAGTCACATATAGAAACCGCATAAGTGTTGTTATATTGAGCATCAAGTCTCTCTCTATTCAGACGCTGCTGACTGCGATATCAATGAGTGCCATCGCTACTAATGGAGTCGTGCCAGGTGAACTTTCTCTTCTGTTCAACTAGAAAAGAGCATTAATGAGTTCAGAAGGTGTGTCGAGAGGCGATAGCGACGCTTTACAGCGCTGAGCTCTGATAAATATCTGATGTGTGTCTGTGATCTGATTTACTGTGTGTGATGTAACAGTGTGAGTGTTAATGTGATCGTTTAGAGCCTAGTTCACGTAATCATGTGGACTTGAACTCTGATCAAAATTAGAGAACACTTTCAGATTACTCACAGTTATTGGTGTTAATCTGGTACCTGGTGCTAATTTCCTTAATTACTTGACAAACCCTATTTAACTGGCAGTATTCTTCTAATTTTCACTGAGATTGTAAAATGGTGAGCTGCTCTAAGGTGACTGAAAGCCTGAGACAGGAGGTTGTCCAGATGAAGGCCAAAGGGACGACCCTTTCAGCCACTGCACGAGAAGCTGCTCGTTCCAAATCTGTGATTTCTCAAATATTGCAGCTTTACAGTGACACTAATTCATTCAAGTCCCTCAAAAAGGCTGGTCAGCCACATAAGACAAATGCAGAGAGGACAGGATAATGCAGAGACTCTCAATGGAGAATCGGTTCAGCACTGCAGCTGGAATTGCTTGTCAGGTCAGCACTGAACAGTATAAGGATCTGTCTCGGCACGTTTAAGAGAAGACTGAATGCAAACTCTGCAGTGACCAAACCTCTCATCAGCAGAAAGAATCAAAAGGCTAGATTCACCTTTGCTGAGGAGCATGTTGTGTGAAGAGAGAACTGGTCCAAAGTTCACTTTAGTGAGGAACTGCAACATGCGGTTCCTTCCCTGCAAGCATCTCCCAATCAGCCTGCAGTTTTCATGCAGGACAAAGCTCCCGTCACACTGCAAAACGGGTAAAGCAGCTCCTTAAAGCTGAAAACACTGAAATAATGAAATGGCCGGCTCAGAGTCCAGATCTAAACCCGACTGAAAATCTCTGGGAAATCCTTGGCAACAAAGTTCTGGCTAAGAAGCCCACTACAGTCACCGAACTATAGAAGAGACTGAAGAAGAGTGGACCGAGATCACAGCAGCGCAGTCTGAGAAACTAGTGAAGTCCTGCGGCCGCAGATGTGCTGAAGTCACTCAAAGCAGGGCCCTCTACACTTCCTACTCATTTCTGACAGATGTAACCCTCCAAAACTTTAGTTGTAATCTTCTTTCATGCTACAGTGGTTACTGTTCTCTAATTTTGATCACTGTTTTCCACAAAATTAAGTTTTTTTTAATTGAAATGCCTTGGATATGTTGTCAGACATGTTAGTAGAACAGTGGTAAACCTACAGCTAATATTCCATATTAACAATATTTCAGAAAAATCAAGAATTATTAAATAAAGTAGTCGCACCCGGTGAATCTGAGGTACACTACTGAATGAATGTCTCCAATATTTCCCTCACATGAACACGTCTGGGGGAGTAGGAAAGTAATGGCAAAGCATTTTGTTTTAGTAGCAGCACGTTTATTTGATACATATAAAAATTAATTTGCCTAATATTTAAAATTATTTATTTATTTATAATGTATATATATATATATATAGCTTATGTTGTCTCCAGGGATTAAAGTTCCGTCGCTACGACGGATTTCCGTCAGTTCATAAAGACAGTCACGTGCTTCATTCCTGAATGATTCAGCCGTTCGAACGAATCAATTGAATGAATGATTCAGTAATAAAATCAGTGACTTGCCGCCACCTGCTGGTGGATTTAGTTTCATTTTTAGCGTATAATTTCAGTTATTTGAATCATATTTCTGTATTCAAAGTCTTATATTTAAAACATTAATCTCATCATGAATTTATGAATTTAATTGCAATCATGCTACCTCTGAGCCTCATTAAACGTCTGAAAATGTACCTTCAAGCCACTTTTGTGTTCTTCTGTGCCACCTCTGTAGTATAAATTAATTTATTAATACTAATTTCATATGATTGGTAACTTATTTGTCTTATTCTACATATTGTTTTAAATAGAAATTTTAAAAAGGTTATAAACATAAATTTTTGAATTTGACATAGATGATGCCATTACAAAGATGCTCCTGTAAGTCACTTTAAGGAGTCAAATGTCACCTCATATTAGGAAGGCTCATTTTTGATCAGAATTTTTGATTATTAATCAGAAGGTGCTCCTAAATTTTTAAATTAGGAGGACAAGCGCTCCTAATTACAAGAAAAACACTGCTCTTAAACTGGGTGTGACAGGTATGGCTGAGGAATGGGGTTTGGTCGAAGGGAAATTTTCAGTCAAAATATATTTTTTTTTGCTTTAACCCCTGTAATATAATAAGAAGTAGAATAAGACAAATAAGTTACCAATCATATGAAATTAGTATTAATAAATTAATTTATACTACAGAGGTGGCACAGAAGAACACAAAAGTGGCTTGTAGGTACATTTCCAGACGTTTAATGAGGCTCAGAGGTAGCATGAGTGCAATTAAATTCATAAATTCATGTGGAGATTAATGTTTTAAATATACAATTTTGAATACAGAAATATGATTTAAATAACTGAAATTATATGCTAAAAATGAAACTAAATCCACCAGCAGGTGGCGGCAAGTCACTGATTTTATAACTGAATCATTCATTCAATTGATTCGTTCAGACGGCTGAATCATTCATTCAATTGATTCGTTCGAACGGCTGAATCATTCAGGAATGAAGCACGTGACTGTCTTTATGAACTGACGGAAATCCGTTGTCCCTGTGTCTCTCTATTAATATGATTTGCATGCATAATAATGATTTCTAGTATCATATCTGACTCTGCTGATGTTGAGCTGCTTCTGCTGCCGTAGGTTTGATGAATCTGTCTCTCCTGCTGTTGTAGAGTTAACATAGTGACTAACACACAGCCGTCTGTCTCTCCGCTCCTCCAGCGGGCGGCTCGTACTTCATGATCTCCCGTTCGCTGGGGCCCGAGTTCGGCGGGGCCGTGGGCTCCTGCTTCTATCTGGGCACGACCTTCGCCGGCTCCATGTACATCCTCGGGGCCGTCGAGATCCTGCTGGTGCGCAGGTCTTCACGTCTAACATTAATATAACGTTGGTTCGCATCAGAGTTTTTGTTCAGTTCTTCTGCCGTTTACAGATGTATATCGCTCCAAGTTCTGCCATCTTCGTCTCGGAGAGTCCTGACGGCGAGGCGGCGGCCATGCTGAACAACATGCGCGTCTACGGCTCCATCTTCCTAGTGCTGATGTCGCTGCTGGTGTTCGTGGGAGTCAAATACGTCAACAAGCTGGCGTCTGTGTTTCTGGCCTGTGTGATCGTGTCCATCCTCTCTATCTACACCGGAGCGCTGGTGTCCGTCTTCAGCCCGCCGTCCTTCCCGTGAGTATCTGTGAGGATGAACACGTCATGTGAATCATGTGCAAAAATAAGTGCGTTAATTTATTTAAATACTTAACCTTTTAATCAAAGCTAGCTTGTGATGCGCAGTACACTCCCATTTAAAAGTACTTTATTCATAAGGGACGCATTAAACTGATCAAAAGTGACAGCAAAGACTATTCTAATGTTACAAAAGATTCTATTTCAAATAAATGCTGTTCTTTTGAGCTTTATATTCATCTGTGAATCCTGAAAAATACTATGGAAATATATGTGATGACCAATGTAATGCAAATATATACATAAACATCTGCTGGTTTTATCCAAAATTATGTTTAAATGAGTTAAATTATATATTTTGTAAATAATATAATTAATTAATTAATTATATAATATTATATATTTATTACATTTTATTTAATTCTAAAATTAAATATTAAAAAAAAAATAGAAATTTGGTGTAAATTGTCAGTAGTTTTTCTCTTGAGCGTTTGTAGTTGTTCATATGTGGCCCTGGAGCACAAAACCAGTCAGTTTGTAGCTGCTGTTCTTTTGAGCTTTATATTCATCTGTGAATCCTGAAAAATACTATGGAAATATATGTGATGACCAATGTAATGCAAATATATACATAAACATAGTCAAATTTAATGTTTTTTTTGTTTTTTTTATATTACCATTATCAAATTGACGTACAAATGAATTAAATACATTATATATTGTGTAAATCATATATTTGGTCACTTATATTCTAATATATATGAATTTATTACATTTTAGTTTTAAAAAATCAGAAATTCGTTATAAATTGACAGCGTTGGCAGTAGATTTTCAGCTGTTTTTATCCATTAATTAAGTTATAATAATATAATATATAAATCATATATTTTATTAATTATATATTATATATTGATTTATTACATTTTACTTAATTTTTTAATTTTATATACATTTTACTAAAATTAATTTCATA